TTCCCCTTCGTTCGCGATGGGAGGAGCTACGACCATTGCACGGATTTCAAAAGCATTTGAAAAGGATGTAATAAAGCTGAAACCAACAAAGGGCCCTCGATTTATCGCCTTTCACTGTTTACTATCTGACAGGTGCAGCCATCATGCAAATCTTCTAGGGCTGAATGCATAACTCATGGGGATAGAGGTATATGGGCTATTAGATTTGCCTTTCACAGTCGCAAATGTCATAAAGGGGAGTGGGAGGGGGGAACCGCAGAGGGACCGAGATTTTCGGCATCAATTATTTATAGGACTATATGCAATGCAACCCGATCCCCCGGTCAACAGGTTTCATGACATGTGGGTGCCATATGGAGCGACTTTTCACTTCCTGCTGCCTCAGATCTCGACGATGCATTTTAATCATTGATCCACCCATACATATATTCCCTCCTGACCCATTTGCTCGCTTCTCCTCTCTCCCCCTTTCCTCCTATTAGTCCTCATATGTATCCTATATGTCAACACCATGATGCGATTGAATCAAAGTCTCCTGCCGCCGAATCCGGACGCCAGCTGGTAAGCGGAAGAGTTCATCGCCCATGAAGTCATCCGCGTGACGTCTATACCCACGGCTGGAAAGGATGAGAAAGGGAATATTAGAGAAAAAAAAAAACCCTGATGGTTGAGGATATCGCGTGATCCATTCTGGGCTGAGGGGGGTAGGACCAGATGGAACCAGCCCAGTCATTATTCCTAACGAGTGGGTGGCTCGGCAGGTCCCAAACAAGGAAAACGGCAATGCAGCTGGACTCATCCACGAGACGATTCACATGGCACGGGCCATGATCGGCTGCGACAGGCATAATCCGCGGTGACGAGCCCATTCGAGTGACTCAATAGAAATAACATCACTTCATCTAAATAGGATATTTAGTGAATTCCTATGAGGCACAAGAACAAATTAAGAATGAATGAAGAGGCAATGTTATACGACGGAAGGTGTCATTGTTCCGATTACGGACTTTTCTAAGGCAGGAGTACCTATCTGATTGTTCAAATAAGATACAGACGAGTAGCAAATCGAACATAATAAGCAACGTGCCTATGTCAAAGTAACTGATTTATTAATTATGCTTATTATGATTATTTGTTCTCTGCAAGATAGGTGGCATTGTCTGTCTTCTTATGCAATTCATGCTAGTCATCGGCTATCTTCAAATGCTGTAATATACCGTCCACGTAGTCATAAACCGTTAGGCTATGAGATCGAGCCTAAAATTGACAATGTTTCAAGAAAAAAAAAAATCCCTATCCTTTCCTCGGGAGAAACTGACTCGTCTAATCTTCCCTCCGTGGTAAAGCCTATTCACAAGCGTTCCTATATTCCTCGTTTGATGGCTTTTGGTGCGAGAATGACTGAAGAAATGAAATGTAGCGGAAAATAGCGTACGGCAGTGTCATAATCAATCATAAGGACGGCAGCATATGAGGCCATTTTTGAAACGGTTAAACTGACAGCAGTATACAGCTGACCAAAGCACACAATAGGACTTTTTCCCCTAAAGCCTGCTTTCCTATTGAGTATGTACCAAGTATTGTAGTCGAGGAACGACGGAGGAAAATGGGTTATCGAATGAGGCAGAGGGTAAATACCGGATAAATTGCGATTAAATGATTTATAAAAGGTATCCGTGGTGTCTGTTACAAACCCCCAGATGGTTCTGGTGAACGGGGGAAGAACAGGTGTGAGGGTCGCATGGGAGAGGGAAGAGAGAGGTCATGAATTCGAATATGCGGGTCCCCGGGCCTCATGTGCATCTGGATGTAGGGGGAGGGAGGGGTGGAAAGTGGTGAATGGGGCACGGGGCATGGGGCTTCACCTCCTCCACAAGGGGGTTTCAGTCTTGTCCCTAGTTCACAAGCACAAAGGTTGCACTACTCGTGCTTCCCTCCAGTGTCTCTTAATATCATACTGTTCGCGATACGATTTGTTTCTGTATGGGCGCAAAATCTCTCATCCCCTTGATTCAGCAAGGCTGTGAGCACATCGACCTCAGTTCTGTGGATGCCCTGAATAAGCTCGAGGTCATCTTCCCCAAAGTTTTACGTGAGTTTAGCTCCCCTTTCCTATTTACTCGATGAGCTTTCCCGTTGAATCCCTAAGTTATCGACCTTTAACTGAGGGGGCGGGGGGCACTATCAGTGAGGAAGTACCGAAGTCCTCAGTCATTCCAGGCCGTCGTTGTTCCAGTGACGAAAAATGAAGCACGTTTCACGGGAAATTGCAATTATGCGATCAAGAAACCTTCGAGAGACCGTCTTTTACTTCTTTAGGCAGTGGACATTGGAAGCTTAGCTGTGTGCAAAGCGTAGCGCATTACGAGAAATAATAGAAACCACTCAGTTAATTGTGGCTGGCTGTTAGAAGCACAGTAACATGCACTGAAACGTACCTCTGGATGCGGGAAATGGTTCGTTGCTAAGCTCATCTACGTATACACGACGACGAAGGAATCTGAATCGAACGGTATGAGTTGCTGTGATGCTGTGTATTATATGAGGCAAGACATGAAGATGATTTTCTATCATACTTCACAAAAAATGATCAAGAAATTCATTTGAGCTCGAAAGTCCAGTGGCAACGTGAAGTACTAAAGTAAACCCAAGTGTCTGCAGTACTTGAAAGGCACGTGTTAAAAAAAAATTAATTTCTGGTTGTTTCAGTATTTTGGGTGCTGTATTTTATCGTCTAAAGAGGAATATTTCAGCGTTAAAACTTTGTGTGGACATTTTCACCCACTGGAATGTAATTTGAAGTGCAAGAACAATTTACAAGAAGGTCTAAGGACAAAGGGGCATTCTTAGGACATTGTGTCGCTTCCAAGCACGTGGCATCATAATCTATTCTATTATCTACGCATCTTGACTCTATTCATACTCAATGAGGTTCTTTTGACGAAATCCATGGGAAGAGGAGGGAAAGGTTCTTGAGCCTGGTTGCAGAGATGCATACGTGGTAACTATAACTACCCCTATTCTCCAAAGCTGAAACCGTGGTCTTGCGTCCCTGACGTAGTTCTCATTGGATCTTGAGATACTGTCCGTTCATCTTCGGTCCTGAAAGGCGTCGCCGTGTTGAAACCTGCATGCACATCGTTGTCCAGAAGCAGTCCTCTACCAGGGCCATATAACGCTAGAACCTGAGACGTCCTGGGATCCCAGTCTGAGGAACACTACAATAAAGGCCTACAACCCTTTCACAACTGATTTTCGTGAAATTAATTTTGGACAGCTTGATCAGAAGAAATTACGTGGAATGCCAATTCCTTCTGCTAAGTGCATTCGCCATATCTGGTTGAGCGCGCATTCTTACACCGTTAATGATGTTCCATCGGTCTGTGAACTTGTTTCACATTTATTCCGTACTGGTTTCCTTTCCCATCTCGGAAACACTCCTTTGGACGACTGTACAAGTATCCATGGCAACTTTTCTAGACGCATATACGTCGGAGTGCATCAACATGTCTCTCCCGAGACAAAAAATTCATGAGAATTTACTTTCTTTTCTCTCCGACTCATCGCCTAGGATATTGAATGATAGAAGGTAAGAGTAGGTAAAAGAAGTAGAATAAAATAAAAATGAGATAAGAATAAATAAGAAATTATGCAGGATACCTCTTGAGAGGAAGTGGAAAATGTGGATGAAAGCCTCTGTGAGAGAGGTCTCCATTCTACATTGGCATCAGAATTTCAGAATATTAATACATGTTGAATGCTGTCAGATGAAGCAGGAGTAGAGAATGTTGACTCCCTCTTTCTTTGGCCGGAAATTTCCAACCATTCGGATGAGGTAACTCGCTTATTTATTTATTTAATTAATTAATTTAATTTATTTAATTTAATTTATTTAATTTTTCATCCAGTACGATAGCTTACGAAGGTGGCTTTTTTTTTACATCTTTCTTTGAAATTTTCTGAGGATTCTCACGAATCTCAAATTCAAAATGTCGAAATCTGCGATTATGTGGCAGTTCGTCAGCATTCGAAAGAAAGCAGGCAACGTTTCTAGTACCTCGCATTTCACCTCTTATGGATGTGCAGAAAGATATTATCCACGCGCTGTTCCAGTTTTCAGTAGCATGTGGCTGGGTATTTTAGAACAAGTAAATGCAACTCCTCCCTTCAGTCTACTTGACCTGTGTATACATCCACTTGCTTCTTGTTTGTGATTTGAGAAATTGTGCATATAGTTTGGATGCGAAAATTGGTCGTATTTCTCACGGTCAAGTCTATCTGCATGTCTGTTTCGATTAATCAAACAATTCGACTCATCAGTGCCTCAAGAAACAATCCTCCTCCCTCCCTGTAGCAGTGAAGCATGTAGAAGAATTCCTACATTTGAGTAAGCAATTGTTTTATCTTGGGATATACGAGTATGGTTAGATGATATTACGCGTTATCAACCGACGCAGAAACCGTGAAACTCGAACTGCCTTCTGTCTTCATAACATCATAACATCATCCCCTCAATAATCTCATTGCCATAGGCTTTCAATTGGGAATTAGAAGCTTCAGGTGGAAATGGATATCGTGGCCTTCGATGGTCGATTCTCCCTGTAAGTGAGCTGGATAAACGTAACTAGGGGTGGATTTTTGAACAGAGAAAATATCAATATAATGGATTTTCCCGGAAAAAGCTGCATAATCGGATAGTTCTATGTTCAAAAATCCACCCTAAGTGGATTTTTTGTCTGTTATGAATCTCAGTCTATTACGAGAAGGGAGTCCTTGCCTCGTCCCCTTCGGTTAGTTTCCTCGTAGACCAAGGAGAAGAAACAGGTTAAGTTTTCAATTTTGTTCCACACATTCAGCGGATGTGGAGGGTGATGTACTGAACAATATCTCCAATTTTGAAATCAACCCAAGTTCTTCCTGGATTGGATTTCATGTATTGTTTTGCCATAGGCCTCTCTGGTGGTTGAGGATTATCCTTTTAAATCCCCCATACTGTATCGATGATGTGGCATGAATGGTGCTTTAATCATGTTTATTTTATTCATTCTGCGACGAATAACCAAACAATTATTCTGTTCACAGCAACCATTCCTCGTTGTGCTGGATGCGAGAGACCGATTTTCGATCGATTCATCCTGAAAGTTCTGGACCTGACCTGGCACGCCACGTGCCTGAAATGCGGGGAATGTGGCTCTTCTTTGGAGGGCCGGTGCTACGCGAGAGACGGACGCGTCTATTGCAAGGATGATTTCTTCAAGTGAGTCCTTGCTCATCATACGGTTCAGTGATCTCATGAAGGTGAAGGATGAAGGCCTTTTGGGGTTGAGTTGGCGAACCTCCTCTGCCGCACATGCATCTTTATTTCTTACGGCTGCATTCCTGAGCTGTGAGGCCACGTTTTGGTCAACTTTTCCAACATTTCCTTGGGGAATATTGGAAAAGTGCCTTTTATGAGGTTAATTATGTTAATTATCAGATCACTGTGAGGAGTTGTGGATATACTCTGTGCAACGAGCAGAATTTTTTGCTCTACATAAGTAATAAAAACTGGTCAGTTTCATGCAGCTTTCAAACAAAGATGCTATCATCTACTGTCTAGCTTTAAACTATTAAACGTCACCAATACCCGTTGTATGAAGCAGGATAATTTCTCGAGCTTATTTCTTGAGCCATGTCTAATTTATGCAATAAACAACCTACAAACGCTACAGGGTGACAAGCTCGCCGAGTTTTACCCCAAAAGGCCTAAATTATGTCCTTAGCTTTGCTGTAAGTATCACTTTGATTTAATATCAAAGAAGAGTTGGTCTTTGAAAGTCGGTGTTTATCCCATGTGTTGATCTCATAACTCATGAATCTGAAAGGAGCTTGAGACTATATGGGATAGAGCTGATAAGTTTGGGTAACAGCCTTTTCAAATCTCATTCGGGTCAAATTACCCTCCTGGGAAAACCCTCCAGTAACTGAGTCACTGAAGGACCCTAATCAGGGTCAAGTGGAATTTCTTTAATCAAGTTCCTTTTTTTTCCTTCGAAATCTATGGTAATTTATTATTATGCATGCCATGTTACAAAAAAAGGATAAGGGAAGTGGAGAGGGTGATTGGGAACGACTCATGGAGGATGAGACCGATCAATCACGGCTGTGTATCCCTTCCCCCTTTCTCGTCCATGCAATTAGGTGTGGGCCGGACTTCATCCAATATTTAAGGACATTTTCCCGGCTATATGGCCGGGCTTGGCCTTTGTCCGATCAGCGGAATGATGTGACTTTTTTCCCGTCCCTCCCTTTCTCTCTCTTTCTGTTGGCTGAGTATAATTCTATTAGAGGGAGGGAATAGCCAGTTGGGTCTTTTGTTCCGCCAAAGGAGGACCGAGTTCATCTGGCGCCGAGGAAATTCAATTTACCATCCGAAAATTATGAAATATGTTGCTCCTCTTCGACGATTCATCACTTGGGATGAGTGCAGGGGCTTTTCTGTGGGGCTCCGTTTCCCTTTGGGAACTTATCTCATTTCCTAGTTTTATGCATGAGAAATGCATCGATGGGAACCTCCTGACAGAGATTAAATTAACTCATATCGTTTTTACTCTTCCCTGCACTCTGCCATAGAAGGAAAAACAACGAATAAAATACAACTAATACAACTAACAAACTAACTAATACAACTCGATCACAAATTTCAGCGGTATGTGAACCATGAGGAAAATGTGCCTCTTGTTTCGTTAAGTAGGTGTTATGGGACGAAATGTAGCGGATGTGGACAAGGGATTCCGCCGACTCAAGTCGTGAGAAGAGCTGGAGAAGGGGTTTATCATCTGCACTGCTTCTCCTGCATCCTCTGCCAAAGACAACTCAACACCGGAGATGAGTTCTACCTAATGGAAGACCGGAAACTCGTTTGCAAAGCCGACTACGAATCCGCCAAAGCTCGAGGTGAGAAACGGAACCTTTCCGGTTGCGGCAGGCCGAACGGGCAAGCTTGACTCGATTTTCGTGCTTTCGCAGAGGCCGAAGCCGCAAATAAGAGACCTCGAACGACCATAACTGCCAAGCAGCTGGAAACCCTCAAAAGTGCTTACAACAGAAGTCCCAAGCCTTCCAGACATATCAGGGAACAACTGAGTCAAGAAACGGGGCTCGACATGCGCGTTGTCCAAGTGTGGTTTCAAAACAGGTCAGTATTGAAACAAAAGTTGCTATCTCGTGGCGAATCGAGGATCGTAGATAGACTTGAAAGCGCAAGAGGCTCAGGGCCATATCACTGCAGCGCATCTTCGTAAACAGCGTTGCAACCTACTAAAATCGTGGGCACGACGGGACGTATGCACAGGCCTCAACCAACGCGTTGCCAAATGTATCACATGATAGTAATTTTCACTGAAAGGAATGCATGCTAGCAACCTGCTTAGAATAGCATCACGGTAGTTGAGGCCTGTGTATGTTGTTCGGTGTTTTTCAAGCGATTTTCTTTCTGTTCGTGAATGTGAATCGTGGAACTTGCCCCAACTGGTGAAAAAATCTTTCGATCTGATTATGATAAAATAACCTTGAGGTTAGAGCGCGAAGCTATGGACATAATAGGCACTCGCGTCACTCGAATAAATTAACTTCGGATGTTTAGATTGATTCTCATTTCAAATGAGTTCGTTCCCTCTTCTCCACTCCTCTCCGATGGGAAAAAAGCCTCCTCTAATAGCAGGTCAACTACAATCCCTCACACGTCACATATTAGGCCAAAAGATTTGCAAATCATAGGACATGTCTCAAATCTCCAAGACCCATATTTACAAGGAAAAGCGAACAAAAAAATATATTCAAAACCATCATAATCACGACTGTTGACCTCTGCAGCTCACTATAGGTGGCGTTGACAGCTGCCATCAAGTGGGGGAAACATGTAAACAATGCCGTGTGCTTAGCCTACTTTCTTAGGCTTCATTGTCGGAGCTCTATAGAAAACGTGTGCAAAGCTTTCAAAGGAATCCCCATTCGATTGCTTGAATGGAGGTCGCTTTAGTCTCCTGCGGAATTGAATGGCACAGTCGGTAAATGAATGGCCAGAGTTCTTTACAGCATTGGATTTTTCCTTGCGTTAGTCAATCATGATAGGCCCGTACAAAAGCATCCCCATTTCAATCACGCAGATCCCCTTTTTTTCTGGCTCTCTTTCTAAGTATGCACTTGTTATTTCACGAACACATCATGCTTTAAAGTATGCTTGGTAATCTATCTTGCCTGTTAGGAATCCTGAACAAAGTTGAAAGACTGGAAGTGGGGAAAAGGAACAACGACATTGCCAAAGTATATTTATTTATTGGAAGCACGTGGTGCCCCTTAAACACCTTCAGTTTTGGTCTGTACCGACCCTGGTTATTCACTTGCCAACTCCTTTTGGAGAAAAATTTTACCTCATAATCATTCCATTCATCCATTCGAGAAATTTTGTGAGAGCACAAATAGAGGAAGGAAAGGAAAGGAAAGGTGAAGATTTTGTAAGCCTTGATTCACTTTGTCTGCGGTTGCCTATGGAGTTGAAATACCGAGAAAGCATCCTGATTGGTTTAGAAAAAGGAACCTCTCCGAGGATAGTCCGATGCAATTTCTTTTTAAGAATCGCAAGGTTACGCAACAAAGACCAGTTTTTCCAAATTGATCACTTTCCTGTTTTCTTAAACGTCTACGAGCGTAACTCATCTCTAAAAGCGTGTACCGTATACGGTCGAACTGCCCGTAGACTTCGCGAGGATCGAGAAGAGTTAAGGAAAGATTCATCAATTCCCGGCTGCTGCTCTTATTGGGATAAATTCTTGCAGATTAATATTCATGACTTTAGACTGTAGACGATATGGGCACCGCCAGGACAACGAACCAGGTTGATTTGGATTTTACAACTCTGTGTCAGAGTTGTAAAATACCTTTCGGTTTCGATCCACAGGACTCGCCTAATTGCTGTTACTAGAAAATATGAACATTTAGCCCGCCACGAAAGAGCTGTTTAAAAGCGGGATTAAACACTTTTAAGGTCTTGGAATCACACGACTGTGCCCCGTTTTGCCAGGAGAGCGAAGGAGAAGCGGCTCAAGAAGGATGCAGGTCGAAGCCGATGGGGAGCCTATTTCAGGGCTTTGAAAGGTGGAGGGAATCCAGGAAGCGTTCCTTCTCCTGGAGGTGGTGCACCCGGTGGAGCACCCGGTGGTAGGCGTCTGGCAGAAAGGAATCGTGGTCTCGATGATCCCAGTGGCGAAGAAGACACCGACCCCGACAACTCTTTCGATACTGGTATCGGCGTCTTGCCTCGTCGCTTTCTTCATCGATCAGACCTTTCCATGGCTGAGGACACGTAGAATCCTTACGACGCATTTCATTCCTGCAGACGAGCTTTCGAGTGAACTTCCTGGGTCGGATGGAGGCTACCCATCGTCGACTGGAGGACTGAGCATGGATGAACAAGGACTAGCCGTTCCTCCTCTGGGTCCGCCGACATTCCTCGGTGCCCCTCCTTTGGCTGGACTTTACCCATTCTCTGATGTCGGAATCCCAAATCCCATAGGTGAATGCATTGACCTCATCTTTCACCAAAAACAGATATTATTGAGGACTGCTTGCATGTTTGCAGGACCATCTGGAATATCTCTTACACCGATAGTTGTACTAGAAACGCGATAAAAATTGAGCTTCCTTAGTGACTGTTAACAAAAAAAAAATCCCACCAGTTTGGCAGAACTACTTAGTTTACGCTAGTGGATCATTGAAATTCATTCACTGTCTTCTTTTCGATCACAAAGGACCAGGAGGTGGAGCAGGAGGTGGCGGAGGTGTGGGTGGAGGCGGAGGGGGTGGTGGTTTGCTCCCTCGTCTCCTTCCCTACGACGCTGGTGTCATGCCAGGAACTTATTCGGAATTCCCACCAAGTCCAGAGGCATGGGTGGGTTCAGAAGTGGAAAGATCCACCGCGCCTCCACCCACCCAAGCGTATTGACTCTTGTGTGCAAGGGAGACCCCATTCATCCCAGGCAACCCAGACTCCATTCCTCAACTGGGCCCAACTGTATTCAATCCTTTTACGCTTGTTCCTGGGCTCCACCGAGGAGTTCTTCACGTATGACTGACTTGACTGTGTGCTACGCTTCATTGCCTAGAGTTCGTCTTCATCAGACTGGAGCAATTATTCATGAAGCCAATTATGTGATGGTCATTCTAGTCCTTCAAATGCATCACGTATTCAGACCTACGTTGTAGCCGTTCCAAAGCTTTTAAGCTTTGACAGCATCCAGTTTATCCCTTCACACGAATAAAGATTTCTCATACAGAAATCTCTTAATCCTAATTCACGTGAAGGGGCACTTTAATGTCGTCATCGCCTAAGGGTTCTGGAGCTGCTGTAAGACTAGAGTTATTCATACCTTCCTCGTTTCGTTCCCGTGACCTTTCCCGATCCTGCCGGTTCTAGAGGTAGCTCTCATGCTTGATTCCATATAATTTAGCCTGATAAATCTGGCATTTTGAGGGTGAAATCCCACTAGACTTCTGGTGTGAATATCGCGTACGTGAAAAACATATCCATCTCCTACCGCTGGGAAGGTATATTTGCAAAGATTTCACGAGGGCAGCCCGACCGCATTTCCAGCCATTCGTTCTTTTTTCATGCAGTCTCCATTCAGTAATCCAGAAAGCTTTGGAACTTTCCCGATGTCTTTCAGTAACGTTTTTCTGTCCTCCATGATCCAAAGTGACGGTTTCCAAAAGTCTTCTGAACTCGGAAGGCCCGTTCTTGTCTATTGCATATCAATCATGAACATTCCCTGCATCATACGGTTCACCAATCTGCTGTGGTTCGCTTCAGTTTTTCACAGCTCGATTCTTTTACATGTCTTGATTACTCCTCATCAGATGGGAAAGGGAAGAGACCAAGTCATAGTATGGAATTTTCAATAATAAAAAAAAGGTTTATCAGTTTTACAGCTTCTGGTTTCTCTTTTCTGCCACGACACGAAGTCACTTCAAGCATCAAGTTCATCGACGTACAGCATGGAAGTCGGCCTTTCTGATGCCTTTTACTCTCTTTTCTCGATGTGGATTGGCCTACATGTAGTGTGAAATGATCGTATCGGGCAACGCGAGCCAGAGGAAAGACATCCTCTGACCGTGATGAATTCTAAGTCCTCCTCCATTGTCCTGCAGCCCTTTCAGCTATAACGATCATCCATCCCGCTTCGGAAAAAAAACAACCCGGATAAAGCTCAGTCAAGTAGCTACTCTCCTCTTAGTGCAATAAAAGCTTTGAACATTGAACCGAGTATTGAAGTGGATTCAGGCCCATCAGAGTGGATACCCAGTTCTCCCTATTGAGTATCCGTTCGGACCCCTTCTTCCCCCTTTCCTTCTCACCCACGAAGCCTGGAGTGACGAAATAGAAAAATCCGCTCTCTTTGTGCAGTGGTCTGGAAGCAAGTGTCTCCTGATCAAAGGTTCCTCGTCACTCTTTTATGGGTGAATCCCGCATAACTCCTCACAACTCTCTGGGTAGGAAGAGGCTTTGGATGCAGTCTAAACCTCTTGAGGTCCCTGGCACACATATGTGGACATTTTCCGATGAATACTCAGCAGTCGTCTGAAGCATTCTGCATAGATTTGCAGTATGTCGTTTTAGCCCCTCTTTTCTCAGGTACATACGTGAAAATATTCATTAAATTTAAGCAAAAGTTCGGTGCAAGGAAATCCGGATCACCTCATAGTATCATGGCAACAGCAAAACACCTTGTTCCACTTGGGTAAATTGGATTTCCGCTTGTTTGCACTAGCTGATAGAAATCCCTAATGGAACGCATAGTCGGAATACAAAAGCACGCATTTGTACGAAAATCCTGTAGACATGTATTACCTTATCAGATATAATGGGACCAAATTTTTCAAAGCAAATTGTTATCTATGAAAAAGTTTGAGGAATGAGTTATTTGTGAAAACATTGTTTATTTTTATTTGTTTAAGAAGTTTTTCTAGTATTTTAAAGAACAATTTAATTTTTAAAAATATGATTTTTGAAAATGGATTTTTCAAGTTTTATTATCGTATAACAATTTTTAAAATTAATTCTTAGACAAAACATTTTCTTAGGCATCTTCTAAACAAAATAATAGACCCAAATCCACTCGATTAGACCACCGATTTCGAGAGGCTTACGAAGTGACGCTATTAGCTTGCTATTGTTCAATCCTTTTCCTAAAAATAATATTCGAAAATAATGTAACAATAAAGAAACCTTGCTAAACTCATTTTAAAAAATCTTAATGGACCCAGGTATGCATCCATGAATTATTCCCTAAGGTGTGAGGAGGAAGAACCTTCCATACTATGAAATAATTGGATAGTGGGTTTTATTCTGAGAAAGAATAGAACAAGAGCTGTAGTCTTCTAAGAGACTGTGGCTGCTCATTTTATCCTCCCTCTCCCCTTCCCTCCTTTGCGATCTCACTGCGGGAAAAACTGAAAGAAAGTAGGTGTTTGTGCGTGGGAAATGACTGGTGGAGACGGGCAAGGAAGAAACGGAGTGTTCCCCCTCGATCCTCTGAGTCTTTCCATTTCAAATTTCTTTTATGCTGTCAATTTGTTAATGGAAGGCCTTGTTGTGCGTCGTACTTGCAAGATTGAAATTACTTTCTTAATGGAAATTTTTATTTGCTCATATTGTGTATGTACGATATATTTCCGACGCGAAATTGATGTCGGTTATTTACCACATTTGCGAACTCCGATAAAAATGTTGTAATTAGTTCCGTCCGCTATCCGGAGTTAATCGTAATAGCTGAATTTGGCTTGGAAATCGGTCTCAATAGTGGGGCGAAAGTCTCACATATGGAAGCAGTGTTGCGATGTCCGAACGAAGAACACGGAGTCGAGAACTCTTGGGAATTCTTCCAGGAATCGATTCCGTTCTCAAGATTACAGATCCGGAGCTGAGGTAGGCTTACAGCGCCCTTGCCTTTTTTTTTATCGTTCCCTCACGTTGCACATTTGCGCGACTAATTTTTTTCCAACACTAGGATGGATCACACCATATCTAACATCATGTCTCGCGGAAATGAGATGACAAGGTGAAACAATAAAGCGTAGATGGGGAATGAGCCTTGGGCGTAGGATGCACGCCACCCCGCCCTCTAAGCATGCGACATCGTCTGAGTATCGTGAGCACAATCTTTTATTTCGTGACCCCCTTTCGATGGGGATGAAGTCGTATAAGGTCAACGTCTGGGAATATGTAGACCAGCCAACTCAGAGGTCGATCACTGACGTGGGAACCGTCCGTGGGATTTAACCCTTTGCGTTAGGACCTGTTCCGGTAACCAAATTTTCCCTGTTCTGCTCCGATGTTGAAGGTCCTCCGACATAATTTCAGGCGTCTGTATTCCTGCTAGCTCTTGTATCGGAGCAAAAAGTACCACACAGAGAGGAAGTTCAAGTGAAATGAGGAAGACGGTCTCTTTTGTATATTGTAATTACCATGGTAATAATAAATAAATCATATAATTCGCCTTTATGCCATTTAAAATGGTAGAAAACACTATCCTCCCGTTTTCCTCATTTGTGCTGAAAAAGAATCGGAGTTGACGGGTACACTCCCTGTGATGCAATCGATTGCAAAAGGTTAAATAAGGCAGGCTGTTGTTTTTTTTTTACTGGTTCGAGTGGGTAAGACGTCTTATTAACTCCTAACGGTGCATCTGGTCATCTTGGAGCATTCAATCTATATCCCATGAGAGACTCTCGTGCATCCCAAGGGAAATTCGTATAGGACGTCCCAAATTGGTCCAATTCGTTCTCTTCCCAGTGATGCACCTTTAGGCGCAAAACCATTAGAGTGCAACCTGCCACCCATGCATGTTCGATCTCCTCGGAATCCAACGGAATCCAACCGGCAGGGAAAATGCACACCCTGCGGACGTTCCAAGAGTGGCAACCATCTCCGGCATCTCGAGGCATTCTCTAAAGGATCTTCAACTATGCATTCGCCCGATGAAACACTTGAAACACTGAAATTCTGCAGGAAATTTTATGTGGGTTCCTGAAGAAAAATCCGAGGGATGTCCTTTTACCACCCTAAAAATTCAGGATTTCGGACGCCCTACGCGTCACGTCAGTTGTATGTCCACAGAATGTGCATCGTGGGCCTTGGATATTGCTGTTTAAAGACACGTTAGCCTTAACCATCTCACGTGCTTCAATTACTCCTTTTCAAGTTTGACAAATTTTCAGGCCACATTTTGCTGCTGGTGCTGATCCAGGTTGAACGATGACTGAAGTCTGAAAACATGCTGTAACATGCTCTCTCAGAGTGTGGCAACGTATTTATCTGCAGTGTAGATGGAATGCATCGATTCCTTATTCTTTGTAAAGTCGGCGCATTGCTATTACGGCTGAGATATTTTCAGTCTTTGATGGAAATCCGCCCACGTGTGGAACTATGGAAGCATAGTTTTGTCTCCTTTCCGTCAAAAATAAAACTCACCTTCCCTCGTTACTAAAAAGCCCCCCCCCCCCCCCCCCCCCCCCCCCCAAAACCCGGCCGGTCAGAAACCCCCCCCCCCCCCCCCCCCCCTCCAAACGGTCCTCCGCTAAGACCTGGCTGGTGACGTTCTTGTATTGGCAGCGAGAGAGGAGGGGAGAGGGAGAGGGAGAGGATAAATTATTGGTGGAATTAAAATTGGAATAAAATAGAGACATTAGGGTTTGTATTTATTTTTTTAAAATGAAGAATGCAGGTAATTGAATAATGTTGGAAAGAGGGAAGAACACAACGGTCAGTTTTGAGAGAAGGCTGAGCCTCGCTCCATAGGCCTACGTGTCAACGTGGACGGGACGGGAAAATGCCGCTTTCTTGCGAAATTATTCATTGAATATGGAACTACATTTAATGAGATTGAGAATTTATTTCGGACTTGAGAAAGTACCAGGGACACTAGATTCGCTCTCCAGATTAGAAAGAAAGGTAACTTACCTCGTGTAAATGAGCTGTCCAATATAGGGCGAAAATGCTTGCTCGTGACTAAATATTTCCGGTTCATAGATATGTCAAATTGACCCCTGACTCATTGGAACTCAATCGGCTGCTGGT